ACTAGAAGCGATGCACTTGTTCCTAGTAGCTTCTTGTTTCTAATAGCGTCCTTGTTACTAGCGCTTGCTAGAAGCGATGCACTTGTTCCTAGTAGCTTCTTGTTTCTGATAGCGTCCTTGTTACTACTAGTAAGGCACTTGTTACTAGAAGCGATGCACTTGTTCCTTGTAGCTTCTTGTTTCTAATAGCAAACATTGTTACTACTAGTCAGGCACTTGTTACTAGAAGCGATGCACTTCCTAGTAGCTTCTTGTTTCTAATAGCTTCTTGTTACTACTAGTAAGGCACTTGTTACCAGAAGCGATGCACTTGTTCCTATAGTGGCTTCTTGTTTCTAATAGCGTCCTTGTTACTACTAGAAGGCACTTGTTACTAGAAGCGATGCACCTGTTCCTAGTAGCTTCTTGTTTCGGATTGAAAGAGAGCGTGTTCCACTCAAGCTGCTTCTGATCTTTCCATTTGAGCCCATTTGTCCCTCCTTCCTAGTACCAACAAGAGCGCATCAATTAGGAGGCTTCAAGAAAAATACGCCTTTGAACAACTCTCTCTCTCTCTCTCACCGCAAGGCATTGACATTTCTCGGTGGACAGGGTGGCCAAGTAGTGTTCGCCCTGACGCGTTGGCATGTCGCTTGGTGTGGCTGACGCGCAGTCGTGTTGCGAATCGCCAGGTGGCTGTTGGCCTTGGGTGCGATGGTGGCGAATCTTGTGAAGCCTCCAACTTGGGATGTTTAGGAACAAGGACGCTACGAACGGAGCAAAGAGCATCGCTACTAGGAGCAAGGATGCTACCAGGGGCTCCTGGCCGTACTACTAGGAGCAAGAAGCTACTAGGAACAAGAAGCTCCTAGGGGCTCGTGGCATCGCTACTTGTGATTTTTTGGCTCGCCATGCCGATGCCTGTGCACATATGTACACATACCCTGACTGAGAGCGAGCGAGTTACGAAGGAGTAACGTGCAGTTTGTTGAAGCGTGTCATACCATGTCCATTTGGCTCCAGAAGCTTTGCTTCCTTACAGGTAAAACCCATGTTCATGGCTTTAGCTCTCGTAGACTCGTAGATGCAGAGTACGAATCACTCGAGTCAAATCAGACTGATGAGATTGATAGAACTTTTCTTCTTTCTCGACACTGAGACACTGCGAAACACACCAGAGAAACACCTACGAAAAAAGACGCAGCTGAGCACATCGACGGACATGCACTGCCTGAGCTAGGGTCATGGCTGGACAGGCTTGCCACACGTTGAACCTGTACATTGAAACACAACTCCAAGAGCCAGCAGCTAGCCATACTTTTGAATGCTGTAGACGTTTTTGCACCCAATCCAACAAAAATCTCGCGGAAAAGATTCTTGTCAGGCCGAGGACAGTAAAGAGCTTAGCGGAGCTAATGGCAGTGAGGCGACTCTGGGGACAGGTCTCTCAGCCATTAAGGTGAACGCAGCTGCTTATTGCTATTAGATTGGAGGCCATCGCTATTAGGTGCTCAAAGGTCTCTGTAGACACTCAAAGCCAACACCTAGGGCCTTCGACAGGAAATGGTCGCGTGTCAAGCGCACGGGACAACAAGGCACACAAAGGCACTCCAGAACAAATCAGTCTAGACCCTCAAAAATAAAGGGCAATTTTCTCTAACGCTAAACTTCATCCTTGTCAGCTGCTAGTAGGTTGGAGGCCATCGCTTCTAGGTTGGAGGCATCGCTTATCGCTTCCTTTCTTATTCCTTTCTGAGACTATGTTTCATTCCGCTTGCAAAGAGCTTGTCATGAGCAAGGGCCCCGCGAAGGGACCAGGAAAAGGTCCTGCAAAGGGACCGCCCAAGGGCAAAGG